CTACCAAAGGACTCGGCGAGCAACACGGGGGTCGTGGTCTTGGTCGACCGTTTGAGCAAGTTGGCTCATCTAGCGGTGGTGCCAAAAATTATCGATGGTGTCGGTACAGCGACGCTGTTTGTGGATCGTGGCTTTCAACCACATGGACTCCCAAAGTCAATTTGTCTCGATAGAGATCCACGCTTCACTGGGAAGTGTTGGTCGATGATATCCAGGGTTCAGGGAACCAAGGTAAATATGTCAGCAGCGGACCATCTGCAGACTGATGGTCAAATTGAGCGCGTGAACCCCGTTGTCGAGGACGTCATTCGCAGCGTCTGCGCTGAGGCGCTTGGAGAGCACTCTTAGAGCTCGCTCTTAACAATGCAGGGCTTTCATCCCCCGGCTACACGCCATTCTACGTGAACGGACTCTATAATCCTCGCGACCGCTGACGCCGCCATTCCATGGTTTGAAGCTTGGTGGGGGAGGAATAGCCGAGCGGCTAGCCGACTTCAGCCCTCTTAACTGTGCGTAAATAGTCGATGAATTCCTCCACTTGCGACCAGTCCTCAATGGCCTTGACCTTAGCGAGTGTAACAGAGTCACACAAGTTGTTGTGACCACACATTGGTGTGGCTTTACTAAACAACAAGTTAGTACGTGGCTGGAACAGCCAGTAGTTATACATTTTTATTAGGTTTACTATATCGATTAGAAAACCAATAGATTAAGAATAAGCGGCTATAGGAAAACCAATAGATTTAATACAAGCGGCTTTGACGTAGACAAAACGAGAAATACAGTTTGCATTTGAAACGGAGTTAATTAGTCTTGTTTTAAGCTTATAGTTACTCGTGGGATAAGCGGATTGTGATCTGCTACACTCATACTGCTTTTAAGTAAAGAACGAAGGTCACCGAACTTAACCACGCTTCCTCTAAGCGAAAGAGTCAGACATCCCTGATGCAGAAGATATCAAATTGGCTCAATCTTCCAATGTTGTGGCAGCACAGTTATTGTAGTAATTTAATGCGACGCGCTCATCATGTAAAACAGTGGGGCTCCGCATTAATTATGAATAAACTGACCAGTGTAGCTCTCTGTGTCGTTAGTCTCCTATTTTTCTATTGCACTAACGCTATCCCTAGGTATGCTCACAATGAACTGCAAGAACTCAAAGTTACCGAAATGGCACATTTGTGACGAAGAGAAGCTAAGATTATCATCCGGCAGTGATGCGTCCATTATTGAGAGCACTCAAGAAGCACCAAGTGCTATTGTGGGTCGGTTATCTTGAAGTAGCGTACGGAATCTTCGGGAAATCCTTCGTTGGAGATACATCACGGCATAGTAGCAAAAGCTTTGCCACCCGAGCTGCCACCGGATTGAAGGAAGGGTCATAAACTAGTTACCGGGCTCCTTGGACCGAATATGCGTCATAAGACAATTGAACTGGCCGACGATGCCATCGACGCATTCTTTCGGGTGATGCATTAAGCCGATTGTTGAGTAAAGGCGTAAATATTGCCTTTGAGGTTGAATTTTGTTTCAAAAAGGTTGACGGCAAGTGGCGAACTGAGTATTTTATGATATGATCAATGCAAGCACTGTTGCAGAGTAACTGTGATCCCTATAAATGCCGTGCCGCAAAGCAACATGATCGACTGTACCTTTTTTCGTACTCCGAATTTAGTTAAAGAACATGATCAATCAAACATGAGCCCGTGATATCCCCTTTACTGCAGGATCTATTTTGAGCGGGATACTCTGGGTGTGGCTAATCATGCCCGATAGAATGTTTGATGTGCTAGTGAGACGCTAAATGGTCTAGTGACCATTGGAGTGGGATGCATATGCCTAAGGCACATGGTGGCAATACGCTCATCTTTATTGACATATCATCGGGGACGGAGAACTGCACTCAATCTTTTACACGGTTCTCAAATATACGCGCTTTAACGAAATGCGCATCAATTTTTGCAAAATGTGAAAAAAAATAATTTTATATCTATGACTCACCATCAAGTAGCAACATCGGCGAGCGAACCCGCAAAATTACGACCATTATAGATCGGTGGATAGTGCTTCACCTAAATGATTTAACGAAGTGGCTCGGTTCCGAAAAAATTATGCAAGATCTCAGTTTGAACTATGCCAATGTGACATAATTTCTTACCATTTTTACAAGAGCTGCGACACAATAGAATCTGCAGCTTTTAGGATGTATATGAATGCCTCAGGAGTGTCCCGATTCTGACCTTTCTGAAGCCAAACTCCGCATCTGCTTGTCGTTGCAATCGCTGCGATAACATCGGCTTTAGTCCAAGCAGATTTTGGCCGATTTACGTCAGCTTAAAGCGGTAAAATGAACTTTTACAAGGTGCCACTTGCAATTTAGTGTTGCGTGATAATTGCTAGTCAAAGTGGCTTAGCTGTAAGCTATTTGTAATCTATGCGGATCAGACGTCGTTTCGTTTCGCATGGCGACGTCGTTCCCGCAACTATTTTGAGAATGGCAAGATAGTCATTCGCCTTATCAAATATTAAGTATATGCCTGGTCGGCTTAACGTGGCAGCGAATGTGCTTTTAGCTTGCCTGATTGTGAACTGCATCACATCACGACGGCGACGTCACATTATGTAGCGATACGTGCAGCATGCGGGTGTATCATGTAACTTGAGTTTGCAAAAACTCTAAACCGATTATGGCTTCAAATTATAGAAGCGCGCGATTTCAAAAATTGATATATCACGGAACTTTTTTAACGTGTTGTAATGCCTCATGAAGAGGAGAATAGTCAATAGGACACACTTCATGCCCAACTAGGAAAAATACAGCACATGGCTATGTACTGGTAGCTCAACAAGTAAAAGTGGGCAAATAATCATGTACGCTAGTTCATAACGACTGAAAAATTGCCGTCGCGCAGGCGGCTTGAGCTAGCCTGCCGGTTTCTGTGAGTGATGACAGTTCAATGTACGGTTTTCGGTTCCCAAAATTCCCCCCCGAAATTTGTAGAATTTTTGAGAGTTAACTAATCCCGCTTCTGTCAGCGTCACTATGTGCGGTTGTATACCGCCAAACGTTTATCGCAAAAGTTTCTCGCCAACTTTACTTGCTGGTGGCCGTGGTGTCAACTCGAGCTTGCACGACACTGATCATGTCCAGCGCTGAATATCCACAGATTAATGGTCAGACAATGCCCATCATTTGCTTGGTGGAAGGGATATCCACCGACGCACTTGAGCGGGTAGACTGTTGTGCTTTTGCATAGTGCTGTGACTTATTGACCCTGCGCTGGTCAATCTAGAGCATGCCTATACATTCTTCACCCGTTTTGGTATGAATGGCTCGTCTAGCCCTCGCATCGTTTACACCGCCACTGAGTAGCTCCAGACTTGGTGAGGAATGGCTATGGTTTGACTTGCAAATACAGCACACAAACATCTCGATACGAACCTACAAATTTTATACCGACGAGATTGAGAATCATTTGCCAAGCGCAGTTTGGTGTAGCTAAGAATTGGAATGCACAAAGCAGCTCCCAGATACCTGAATTGTATGTGAATACAATTTTATTACCAACATAAGACAAAGTTGTAAGTCAGCTGCGTCAAAGCTTCTAATATCGTTGCTATAAGAAATTTTTTAAGACCCTTTACAGCCAAGAACACACTTAGCATTTTACGTGATTATCGACGCAATACCACTACTTCGCTCCCACACGTTCATCACGGTCATCATGTGGAACGCTCTTTTAAGGTCTGGACAATTTCGTATAGCAGACATGCCTTCTCACCCGGGGAAGAGATTTGGTTTGGATCTGCTGTGAAGTGCTATAACTCACTCGTCAATAATGGCGTGGCTCACGGATTGCTGGGCGATAGCTGTAGACAGTATCGTGTTAATCTCTTATTTGGGAAGTCCAAAGGAGTTTGATGCTCAACTTCCGAAATATGCATTGGCGTCATTGACGGCTACTGCTTATCCGAACTCGGTAGTCTTTCGTCTTAACGGATGAGACAGGGTCGTCCAGCATAACTCACTTACCGCCAGGGACTCGGTATTGTCCCAAATCTGAGACTTGACCAGTAGCTACATCAACAGGCTCTTGTAGATCAGCTGGGCTATTGCTTTGATTTTGAGCAGTTGCTGAAAAGAATCAACGAAGTCGTGAGCACAGTAAACGGCAAGCTCTGATATAGGCGTCTGCGCCCAAATGACGGCTAAATGTAGCTTGATTTAAAGCAAGCACTATTCGCCAATTGTTGCCAGCTTTGTCGTCACAGAATAACTAATTAGCGGAGGACTAACCTCTGCCACAATTTTCTGTAGCATCACATTGTCTCTACGACGGACACGCCGTGCGCTTTGCACATAGGATTGCTGACTATAAAATTCTCGCTTACATATTGACCAGGTACGCTCCAGCTGGTGGCAGAATCGAAAATCTCAATTTAAACTTGGTGTCCACTTTGCTCTTTTATAAAAAAATGTATATATCTAGGATTTACTTTATTCAGACAAATGCCATATAACTGTCGGAACTAATGAATATACACAATACACCGAAGTACAATCTGAAATTCATACATTCGTACCGTATGTCTTGATTCGATCGTACCAATGGTAGTGCACGAGTTTACAAAACCTACTTTGATAAAACTACCCCCACTGAGATGTGGTCCACATTGACGCACACCCAATTTTGTCTGTTCATGCGCCTAACGCCTGCCTACGTCCTCGTCACCTTAGCGTACCTGCCGTTCATAACATAATTGCTCAGGGAAATTTCTCAGGTGTGCCCAAATAAATGACCTTATCAGCCTCTGATAAATACGTGACCTCAGGATTGACGCACGTGGACAAAATTCTCGGCGAGAATGACGAAGTCTTTTTAGCTAGTATGGGCGCGGTGACTTCCCGACACCTGACTGACACTTTTGCTCTGATTCGGCGACGCACGGTCTTGCCGCCACTGCAAAGGGAAGAGCCTTTTGCGCTCATCCATCCTTCATCACCAGTTCCGTCCACTATGCCTGATAATATCTGCGAAAGGCGTTGGGACAGACTACTGTAAATCTCACGAAAAAGTCTGGCCATTCGCTGCAATCGCTATAGAAATACCAGTTTATACCGGGAATACTATGTAGTGATTATAAATTTGAGCCTTTACAAGCTGCTTGCTGCGCTAGGGCAGAACTCTCACGCGCCTATACGTCGAGGATTTCCGCTCACACGAAGAGAATGACGAGCGCGGGAAAGCTACTTTGCGAGCGAGTTTTCAACCCATCTGTCACCACCCCTTAGTATATCTCTTAACCGTTCTAAAACTAATATTCTTACATCTTCTAGAGAATTTATATTTGAGTGTGAATATTTAGAGCAGCAGACGTTGTGAAGATTCGTACCCTCCGTTAAAAATTTACCATGGGTACTGGAAGATGGCGGGGGCGCCGATGTGAATCGAGCTCAATTTGCGTAACAGGTGAGATAAAGGCTCTTTATTAGCTGGTGTACGTCTTTACAGACCAGCTCAAACAAATCAGACGATTGTTCAGAGCCCCATCGATTGGTTGACTTTAAAGCGTACAAAGAACAACGCAGACGCTGATATGACAGCTCATCACCACCGATCCGCCGTTTAGAAGCGCGCTGTATCCATAAGACGGATGAAATAAATGTCGCCAAGGAACTTATTTATCACTATCTTTGTTATCTCACTGGTGAGAAGCGTGCTGCGATGGGCAACCCTATACAGGCCGAGGGTGTGTCAGTTTGAAAGCGGCCGCGGACCTGAAGCATGAAGATGCCTTATCGAACAACTTGCTGCATTACAACGCTGATCCATATGACGCTCTGCATTTGGTGGTGCGTGCTAATGTAATAGATAAATGCAAGAGGCACATGATACCCTATTGAGTGTCCATATTGTCGAGATTTTACGTCATGCTCGGTGAGAGCTACGTATTGCTGGCCAAATATGTAAAAGTGGTTAAAATATATGTACGCAAGTGTGAAACGTTTCAGCGCGCGAAATTCCCCCGCATGCGGTGATTCCCTTAGTCAGCCTATCGGTTCCGGTAGGAAGTTGGCAAATTGTCATTATGGAAATCATTTTTGATCTTCCACAAATTATGTCCGGTAAATACGGGACAATTATTTTTGTCGGCCGCTTGGACAAGATGGATCATTAAGAACCTGTCAGCGATAATGTGATTGGTGATAATTCAGTTGAGATATTCTTTGACAAATATCATCGCGTACATGGCTTGTCGGTTGTCGTTGTATAGGATTGTGGTCAGCGCCCTCCAGCAACGTGCGCAAACTGTGTTTCGTGTTTAACATGCCAACCGCTGATCGCCAAAAAACAGAATGTCAGAACAGGCGAGAACTACGTTATCAACCCACCGAAGCCGATCGATCAAGATCCAGAAGAGCAAGAATCAGAGTACGTAGAGGCCTCCTTTCATAGCCATAACGAAAACATTTTCGATCGCACTCTAGCCCTATCTGACAGCCTTCCTGATGGAAATTGTTAGGGGTGGTGCAAAATTAGTTTGGTATAGATTATTTATGCAAGTAATTAGCTAGGCCAAACCACCCTTTTTTACATTTTGGAATAGATATTTTTTGGAAACTCAAGGTGGTTTTTTTCATGCGGCGTTCGCCTACATATTATCTTTTCGTTGCATCATAGGGGATATCGTCAGCACCAAAGATACATTTGTATGTATTGGCACATAACTTAGCTAGGTACATACACATGAGCGCTGCGCAAGTGTCCAGCATTGATCTCCACGTTTGGCAGCCAATTCAACGTTGCTGGTGCAGTAGATAGATTTTGTGGCCTACTCAGTCACTCAGCTCGGCGTACTGACCGTTGTGATAGGGATATTCCTGCCTCTAATCATCAGTATCAGTGTCAGCACTGGAACGGTGGTCAGAGTGAGTTTGTTTATGGCTTGTATAATTCATCATTCGCATTTCGCCCATCTGACGCCGAAAGTCCGTCTCAAGTTGGAAGATATACTCTATCACCAGATACACCTCATGTTTTGCAAGAAAAAAAGCGTCGATAACGTCACACTGTTCCGTTACTCAGGCTGTTGCCGACCTACCTAATATTTGGTTATGAGAGCTAAGTCGATTTTGATGACGCATTTCTCTGTCCAGGAAGAGCAGGCGTGATACTTTGATATCATGTCACGATATTCCTTCAACAAAGAACAGAAGTAATCCGTACATTCCTTATGGATGACTTTCTTACTCTGCAATCAGTGTCCAGACTGACTGTTTCATTCATTACGGATGGTTTGACCAGATTATTTTCCGATATCAACCATGCCATTTTGGTGACTTCGCCGTCTCGCAAACGTGTGTACAAATTTTGGAGCGATAGCTACTCACAGACTATATGCGCCTTTGCCGGGGTTGATGAGCAGTTGCTTACAGCCCAGCGAAAAAACCCGGTCTCGGCCTACATGTGAGATTCAATTTTTCGACACAAATTAAAAAGGTTTCACTGCTCCGCATGGTGGGACCCGTTACACGGTAGTGCTGATTCGACAATACCGTCAGATCGTTACAAGAATGAGTCAGTCCTTTGAGCTTCAGGAGATGACCTTTCTATTCAGGTCTTACGCTTGCCTATCAGCTTAATCGGTTCTGCCATAAAAAAACGCAGCACCCAGTTGCTCACGCGTGGCGCAGATCTTTTGTTCCATCAATGCACTTTAGATACCCCGACATACAGTCTTTCATTACCGGCTCACCTTGACACCGCGGCTCATTGTCATGACTGCCTTCCGAGCGCTGCTTGAGGCTCTAGCAATACAATTATTATTTATCTCGATTTGTCCAGTTGGCGCGCGCACGGTTTGAGAAAAACAGCAGGCCAAAAGTGAGTGTCACCAAACGATTCGGCATTCACTCGATTCGTGGCTCGTAACGATCCGGCCACGCCATATCTAAAATTTGGTCGCATCAAATCCAAATTGAGAGCTAGACAACATTTCACGCAACCCAAGCTCTGAAACGTTACTCGAAGACTCGATATTACCTTCAACGTTTCCAGTGTCCCATCGCAGTACACATTGATGTCGTATTCCGTCAATGATTCCACCTAATTTTTATGCTTTCGATAATCACGCGTCGTACATAATTGCGCGATGCTTTTAAATCAATCCGGTTTTTACGGCCTCACAAGGACGTTGGTACCGGCAGTCAGCAACCCTTGATTGCAATCCTAGCCGGTATTAACAAGAGACGTACCTTTCAGGTTTGGGTCCCATTGACCACGACCCAAACGAGGTACAAACAGATTCATTTGTTCAGTCCATCCTGAAGGATTTGTTTGATGCCTATGCCTGGGGTCCAATCCTCCATACCATTCAACGGAGCACTCAAGGTGCAGATGTTTTGCACTACCGCAACAAATAGTTTGCGTGATAGGCGGAGCTGCTTAGCTGTTAGACTCTCTAGCTCAATTGGTTGATAGCCATTGTCTCGTAGGCTCAATATAGCTCCTTATTTCTGTTTTTATCCGGTTCTCATGTCAGTTATCCGCATTGTATGCGACTTCCACCGCTTCCTCGCAATAGATCGAGGCGCATTTGTTCGGGATTTACTAATGAAGACGTTTACCGCTATCGCCTTCGGGGGAGAATTTAATGTAATTGCAGCGATAATTGCATGATTGGGTGGTGCGAAATAAATCGCCTTTCATCATTTACTGTTGGATGTGTCTCTTCCGCAGAAATACTGCGCGTAAGTGTTCAGTATTGCGCATGATTATCTAGCTGTAATAATGCGAGCGCGATTGCGCTGTTGAGCCGGTAAAAGCATGATCGAATTCATGGCCATCTCACCTTACATCACTCAGCGCGAAAGATTTTCTTCGTTTCGTCCCTCTGCGATAAAGATCTGAAAGCTCAACATCAGCAGCTTCATAGTAAGAATTATCTGGTTTTCCACCCGCTCTCAGTTGGGGCGCTTCCGTAAGCGTCTCCCAACCGTATTCTCATAACAGATGAGCGCCTTGAGGTAAAGAATTTCCGCCCACGGCCTCTCATTCTTGCAATGGATGGATACATTCCCTTCTCAACTCGGTCGTGGGACTGACTACAGGCTCTATCAAGTGCAATGGGTTTTGTAATTTTTACACATAAAAAGCTTCGACTTTTATCGTCCGAACTAACAAACGCATATAATTTTGGGTTGTGTGCCCTCACCAAGAGCAAATTGAAAGCCTCATAAGTGTACACATATCACTGTACACATACGTTTTACTGTCATTTTCAGCAGGAATATTCGCGATTTTTACCAAAGTGCAATCTGATTTTCATTTACCAAACATGTAAGGAGTAGAGCACAAGATTGCAGCACACTTACTTCACATATGTCATTCTTCGACATGAGCAATATACTCTGTCCTAAGATCCTATCTCGCTGATGAAGGAAGTTGTGGTTAATCTAAATGATGATTGCAAAAGGTGTCACATCAAACGGCTTAGCAAGATAAGGCAAGATACGGGTGATGTCACAAAATCCCGTTTTTATTTGATGCTTTAGCAATTTTGCGTTTTCGCCGCATCTGAAGGTCTTGAAGATTCAACGGTTAACGACTCACCGCTTTTACTTATTGGCTTGAGTTTTATTTGCGGCACCTACGCAAAAGGACTTGCGTTCCCGATTTTGGGCGGATATCTCACTTGTGACTGTTTTTTTCCTCCCCTGATACTTTTAGAAATCAGGGGGTTTGTGTGATGAGCGGTGTCACACTTGATTTGGTGACATTCTGACCGTTTTTTTACAGCTTTGTTCGAACAATGACAAGATCGATGCTCGTTGTCCTTATGTGCATTAAATGCAATTGGCGTTGTCATTTGAATAGATTCAGCCCGAGTTGTGGATGCTTGTAGCTGCTCAAAGAGTTGCTGCACAGCCAGAAGCTGTCAGAACTTCATTCAAGTAAATTCATTTTATCGTCATCACCTGCATACGCGCAGTGCTGCTTGCCTTTGCCTTCAAGTCTACAGAAAGCGAAATCTTTTCATTCGACGCTAAATCATTCTCCGCTTCAAAGCGCACGCTATTCTTTTTCAGCGCATTCTGCAACGGTATAAATGTTTTTGTCTGAGTGGATTGCGTTACCTTGGTAATTGGAGGTGAAACAGCTGAAGCTGCCGTTCGCAATCGCTCCATTTCCGCTTTCAGCTTTTCGTTCTCCATTTCATGGTGCTTTATAATCTTCAGCAGAGCCTGCACGCTGTGGTCGAACTCGATCAGATACTTGGCCTCCATCACCTGCAATTGCTGCGCCACCGCTGCTTTTACTTGGTGTGCATGGGCTTGCAAATCAGCAATTTGACATTCTGCCTCTAGTCTAGCCGTATCGCATCTCTTAAGCTGCATCTTAAGACGCTGAATTTCGTTCAAAAGTAAGTCATTATTATCGCGTTGTTGAGTCTGCATGTATCTTACAGAACGACGCACACAAAATGTAGCCATTTCGACTGAACAACGGAAACATCACAGGGGGAAAATTTGGAAGTCCAATATATCTTTTACAAGGGATTGACTTTTGGGAAAATAGGCATATGAAACGTAGTGTTTAACGTGCAGGAGATTGAGGAGGACACCCAATCTCCATTTTCAACTGCTACAACGTTTTTCCCTTCTTTTTGCATAAAAAAATGCTCAATATCTACATGAAAAGCTGTCCTGACATTCTTGCAAAATAATCGTCTGTCCTTGGGACAAGGAAACAAGTATACAGCCGCTGATAACTCCGACTAAATAAGCATTTTGGTAGGTACTGTGCCTCCACTTACGAATAAAAACTGTTTACGGGCCGAGAATCAACATCTATGTTTGGTGGAAAAATTCGAAAAAAAAAAAATTTCTCGCGATTTAAGTTGCTTGTATGCACAAATCTTTATTCATAGGGGGATACGGGGATACGAGTAAAACGACAGCAGAATGTTCCGTTTTTAGCAAGTTGAAGTGCAAGCTTAAATTTTAAGCTGACCGCGCAAATCTATAATCTAAGAAATCAGGCATGTTATTCTTCAACTGCCGCACAGATTTTTCTATTTCCACTTGCTCTGGCATCGCTCATCCTTATTTTGAAGCTGAGAAATTCTAACGCATTTAAAATAAAACGTACGAGCATAGAACTCTCACGATCTACATCCTGAATACTCGAATAATACACACGTAGAAAAAGAATATCCGTGCGAAAAACTCTTTGCTTGCGTCGCATCACGTTGCTAACTGGCTATTTGCTCTTAGGCCAGAGCGAATCAACGTTACATTTCCTCTTAGGCCAATTAATATTTAGCGGACAATATTACCCTTGCTAGCAGTCGCTTTCTGCGTTTTCATTTCGATATGCAAGCATGGAAGACGTTCAATCAACTTTTAGTCCAAGTTTCGGAGTACTGCCATGGTGGTCATTGGCGAATAACAAAATACAGATTGCTATTGTAAATTACGAAACTATCAAAAATCAATTTTACTGCAAGCTTTAAATATTATTTTGCAAACCAAAATGAACGTGGTCACGCCTGCTCATCTAGAGGCAAAGATCCGCGATGAAATTGGCGCTGTATTGGTAGAAGCCACGGATCTTTCTGATGGATGCGGTAGCAAATTCAGTCTTGTAGTAGTGCACGAGGGTTTTGAAGGTCAATGTAGCGACATTATTATTATTTTGGTTGAGAAGATTTGTACTAACTCAACTTGTATCCCACAGGCCAATCGCTTTTAGAGCGTCAACGCCAGATTAATGATTGTCTTAAGGAGGAAATGACGCGCATTCACGCATTGCAAATGAAGACGTGGACGCCAGCGCAGTACGAGCAAAAGACGCTCAAAAAGTTGCCAACCAACAGCCAATCCCCTGGCGAGCAGTAGGTAGACAAGTAACACCCCGCTGGTAAAATGTGTCAAATTTTGTAATATTTTATCATCGTTTACAAAGAAAAAGGGGATGTGACAGCGGGTGCAACGATCGTGGCGGGTGGAGTTAAGTCGTCCAAGCTCAGGATTGATGATTCCATACTTGTTGTATGCCATTTGGTTTCTGTTCGTAGTGTCTGCTCTCTTGTGCTTGATACTCTTTGTCCAATGGGTTTCGCAACACCTCGCTGCGCCTTTGCTGCTAATGAATGTGAGGTAATATCAGAGAGTGAGCTGCCAATATTAGACTGCGTATTTGAGCCTGGCCAAGCAGAAGAAGATGACAGTTGCGAGTCACTTGCTGCTGCACTGTCATAGGATATTAGCGAGAGGGTCTGATCATTCAAACTTCGGGTGCAGTTACTGCTATTGCTAGCATTCTTTTTTGGACTCGGGCTCTTGCTCTTACGACGGCCAGGTGATGAACCCCAGCCGACGTGATGACAGTTCTCTTGACTGCATTTTGCCAGCTTTTTGTAAAACTCAAGCTCATCCGTAAGCAAACGACACTTCTCTTGTGACATGATGATCTGCTGTTTAAACAAACCTTGATACTCTTGCAAGGAATTTTGCAGGCAATTAATATGAGTCTCTTGGTTGCTTAGCCGCGTTTCGCATGCGCGATTTTTCATTTCAAGCTGACTACATGTCACATTGCACACATTATTCTGGAACACAAGCTCCTCAATCCGTGCCTTTAGCTGAGCATTTTCACTTAATATGCTATGATTCTCACTGCCCAGTGATAGTCGTGAATTCTCGGATAGATAGTGCAATTGAAGCTTCAGCTCGACCAACTGTCGTGAGAGCGCTTCCGCATCGGCATGATGCACGCAATTAATGGTGGAGCATGTAGGAATTGGCTCTTGAATTATTGAAGGCTGTACAAGCGTGGCATTTTCGCAAACCATCAATAAATTTGCTTTCGCGTCATCGTCTTTCAATGTCGAAGTGTAATGTGTCACATCTGAGCCTTCGAGCTGTCCCATGTTGGCAGAAAGTTGTGCTACTGGATGCACCACACTCTCGCATTGAACCTCCAGACGAGATTCAAATGTCTTTCGCCAATTGTCACTCTCAAGCCAGCTTCTTAAAGAAGGCGCTGCAGCTTCCCACGATGCGTCAATAGCTAATAAATCCCCTTCTAATGTGTTTTCAGACTGACTAGATAAAGAAAGAATAGGCCTTCCAGTGGACAAGTCAACACGAACTTCGTCAAGCTTGGATTCAAGTCGTTCAAGCACGCCGAACAATATCCTATTTTCTTCTTCTAGCGCCTGATTTTTCAGCTCAAGCTTAGCGATTGTTTGTGCAAAAATCTGTGCTGAATCATTTCCATCTTCATCGCTCGCGTCCTCTTCGTTATCACCTTCACCAACGTCATCTGCATCCGACACATCAGCATTTTCAAACGTGCCGGTATCTTGTGTTGGTGCCGTTAATGACTTGCTTGGACCAAGTTCATTTTCATGAAGCTGCGGCTTTTCCTGGAATTTTTCTGCTAAAAGTCGTTGAAGCTCATCAATTGTACGATTCTTCGCCTCCATATCTTCCATCGCACGCTGATACAACTCTTTAAACAAAATGCCCGTCGTGAAAGCTGCACCACTTTCACCTGCGTCAGTCCGCTGCACGACTGGATTTTTAATCTCCTTCGCGCGTAAGCCGAATCGTAGTGTCGAGATCGTTTCGGACATGTTATAAGAACTACACGAAGCTGCAAGAATAAGACAAGTTTTAGCAGTTCCTCCTAACGAGTCTTGTAACAACCGGGTGAGCTTTGAGTCTCGATATGGTACATGACGCTTACCCTCCCCAAGCGCCTTAATTACGTTACTCAGCGCCGATAACGATTTATTGATTGCTTTGGCTTCCTGCAACACTCGACCACTAGCGTTTGTTTTGGTCACAAGCTCAGATCCTGCAAGATCGACAATATACATTGTCGCGCGTCTTCCACTTTTCACTCGAAGACACGAGATCATTAAAATTGTGTGACTACGACTCGAATCTTTATTCATGCGCGTAGAGGACACTGCGCGACTAAGTGTTCCGCTCTTCACGAGTTCCATCATAGATGCCTCGGATTTGCTATGAATGCGCGTCATCTCTTCGATATAGATGCCAAATTGCGCACTTTCGCGAATCTTAAGACCCCCATTTGTAGGTGTGCCGACATTGCCATTGCTACTATTAAGCAGATCGCGAATTTGCTCCATATAAATCTCTACGAACGATACACTGAGTTGAATAGGATCAGTCTTGGCACGTTCCACTTCCTCGTAAAGATCTTTAGCAACGCGTGATATGATACCTGCCTCATCCTCAGCACCAACCAAGACGCTGTCTTTGGGTCCCAAAATCGTGTGTGTCTTGCCTGATCCTGTCTGTCCGTAAGCAAAGATGGTGCTACAGAATAACACAAAATCAAGAATAAAAGCACGTAGCTTTCTATTGTTGCTAGCAAATGACATACCAGTTAAAACCCTGTAGAAACTCTTGGACAAGTGGTTTAGCTGTATGTGTATAGACTTCTTCCTGCTTCGAATTAACGTCAAAGACGCGGTCAAACGTGCAGCGAATCTCGTCCACCTCGCATCGTTCATTGCGAAGGAACAAGGTACGGCCACCCACGACTGTCGTACTGCACATGAGAATATGTAAGCACTCTGGCGGTAAGAACATTTGCAATGTCGTACCATTGTAAGGCGTGCTCGCGCTTTTCTAATTGATTTTGCTTACGAAGGCGACAAAATACTTTGATGCTGGCGAGTTCTGGCGCTAAAGAAGCAGGCGACCGATCATTAGCGATCATTTTATGCGTCCGTAGTCGGCACAGACTTTAGGCGTGCTGAGCGTTAAAGTTGGTCAAACAAAATGTCTTGCCATGCTCTATGTATAGTCAGTCGCACTTGGTCTTCCATTAACTGCATGATGAGTATTAATAGAAGAGTTACCTTCGTAATGGAGTTGCTTGCGTATAGCAGTTTCTGGGCATATTGTTGAAGACCTAAATTCATTGCAATATTCGATCATTGATTAAGTACTAACTAATTAATGGAAGCCTATCCATACATATAAAGCTTAATGAGCAGCGAGCACCTGTGTATAGCGTATGGAGTTGTTTTCGGCCCATTCATCAAGTGTGAGTGACGGAGTGTCCGTGAGGTCTTCAAATTTCTGCGAGATTGGCAAAACCATGGCATTCGTGTCGACGTCGCTCCCTATCGCCGCTGAAGTTTCAGCAGCAGTTTGGACATCCTTTGTGAATTCCACAGCACATTCGAGAAACTGCTGTGTATACTCTCGTGGCCAGTAGGCAATACGCCAAAACTCGCGACCTGGTTGCTCTCGAAGTGCGTCCACACAACTTAATCGCACAGGTCGCGCTTTGTTGGCGTGTCGTTGGAGAATACGCTGCACTTCATTCATTGTCACATGCGAGGTATAAAGCTTATTGATTTTTCCACGTTGCAACGGGAATGTAAAGGCTGCATCCACCAATGCCTTCGATGCATCCTCAAGCGACATCAAGTACACCTTTGAAGATGCCAATGAAGGCTCCAATAGTGGCCACACTATGTGGGGCGACATTGACATTCGTGTCTCTCCTTCCTCCAATTTACTCTGCGCTTGACCTTCGATTTCTGATCGCACGTTGGCTTCGCTGGCAGTAAGCTCATCAGATTTTATTTCTTCCGAATTGCTTAGACTCTCGCTGCTTTCATCGCAATGCGAAAGCGCAAGGAAATATTCCATAAACAACGGAAGCCTTATAATCGTGAATGGGACTCCTGACGTTTTAATGCAGCTCTCAATCTCCTCGAGATGTTCAAGAATTGCGCTATGCTCTAATAGAGGAGAATTGACAAAAATTGAGCTTACCAGTACCACGCCCCAAGCATTTGCACGCGCGGCGGCATGTACGACGGCATGTACTACGTCAAGACAAGCTTTTTTACCAAGCTGGAGGGGTGGAATAAGTAGCACAACATTTAGGGACGAAAGTTGCTTCAACAAATCCGCTATTGGATACGGTGGAGCTCCTTCTAGTTGGTATACGGTTGGAGGCTCGGGAACTCCTGAAGGACCCCCTGGTGCTACTTTAACAGTGCATAATGTTACGTTGGTCTGTTGGAGAATTCTGTTGCCGCTCACGCGGTCAGGAAGAACTGTTGGGATTTCGCTTTCACCAACCTCACGCGGTATAAGAGCCAAAGGTGCAGCTATTCGACTTGCTACAACCTTGCTTACTTCGACGAATAGCGCTTCACCGGAGCCTACGACAAACAGTTGTACTTGATTTTGTGGAGTTTTAGCGAACATAGATGACGCGTGACGCTGTAGCCATTGGCGAGGACTCACGCGTTCACGCTTTGTCAGCAGCCGAAAATCGCTCGTGCTGTGGAACGCTTCAGGCAGATGCAAGGTACGACTGGCTTCCATATCTCTTTGACTTGATAGTGTTCCTGACAGTATTCCGTGACCTGTGCTTGGGCCTTCATTATTCGTTTTGCTGCTCATAGGTTCTTCTAGAAAAAGACGAAGACCAACGGTGCCCTGAGCCACTTGTTCAGGCGTGTGCTTTTCCTTCATCATACATAAAAATTCGGCGTCACTTAGCCTGCGGTACTTAATGTCACGTCCCAAAAATTCAGTCAGATATCGACTTAGCTCTCTAGGGCTGCAGCTAGCATTGATCCCTCCAGTCAATCGGTACACTGCCTCATACTTCCGCTTGGGATTTGCCAGCACTTCGGTCGCGGCGTAACCGATATCACGAACGGAGATGCAGGGCACGTGCGTATCCCACCCAAAACATCCAACGAATCGATCAGCAAACAGCAGTTCGTCACGACAGTACAGTAGTGTTTCCATGAGAAGAGGAATGCGCAAAGATACACAACGCCCAAGTTCTGGTAATTGGTTTCTAGCATGAACTTCCACAGCCACGTAGCCCTCCGACGCGGTGTCATCTGTAGGCATGGAGCCAGCAAACTCCGTCTCAGGTCGCTCTTTTGAATATTCTTGACGACAACGAGCCAATAATTCTGGAGCAGCCAAAATGCTGCTGATCACAACCAGCCGTGACACCTGCTCTGCTGCCACCGCATCGACAACTCGCTTCGAAAAGCACACTCCATTTTCTGACAGCGCAGGCACAAGAAGTACAGCGTCCGCGTTGCGCACGGCACGACGGAGAGTATCCTCTCCACCTTTCGCAAAATTGCATTGCACGAGAAAACAGTTGGTAGCGTGTTTTAAACGCTGGACACGTGGATCCTTCGTACTTTCAACTGCAGCTACCAGAGCTACCGAGACTTGCTCCTGTGCCGATAACACTTCTAACGTTGAGCGTCCGATACGACTGGTTGCACCAAACACCACAATCACTCGAGAGCGCATGAGTTTTCGCAATTGGATACCCATGATATGTGACTACGCAGTAGTTAAAGTGATTGAAGGCCAAGATTTACTTCTCCGCTGCGACGAGGAACTTGAATCATGCCATTCTATCTAACTGGCACATGCAATTACCAACGGTAGTACCTAGCATTAAATATACGTCAGTGAAGGCTGTCCATGGAATTTTGCAGGAACATTTTAACATTTTGCTTTTAGTAATACGTCAAACGTCTCCTCTATTTGGATCGATACACGACTTTCTGAGCCAACCGCACCATCGCATCTCGCTCAGGTGAAGGAGCAAACTGCATGGCCGCTTGGGCTGCCAATTCTGCCTGACCAATGGCCATAGCTCTGGACCGTGCGATACCTGTACTTTTCTCTACCAGCTCACTTGCCTGCAGTGTATGACAATATCACAGTTAGCAGCGTTGTTGATCGATACTTTGTGATACTGCATCACAAACCAATTTAACATCGCCCTCCCATGCAAATTTTCGCTTCGCGAGCTCACGCAGCACAGGGAATTCTTCTTGTGCGAGTAGAAGTGGAGCTGTAGATAGACCTGATTTAAGATCGGCCAATAATGGTTTACCAGTATTCACGCCTTCATAATCCAGAACATCATCAATTAACTAAAATGCAGAAGGATGTTAAATTGACCATATACATTGCCACCAAATTTAACATTCGATTTAAGCACCTGAAAGGCCAGACCAATATGGCGACCATATGCAAAGCCCAGATCGCAAATATGCTCGTCATGTTTACCCAGCACCAGCGCGGCCTTGCAGCTATTGGACATGAGCGAACCCGTTTTGTAATAGTTTTTACGCAGATAGTATTCAAACGGAGTTATGTCATCGCGTGTGTCTGCATTTTTCATTTGCATGACTTCGCCTTTGACCAGGTGTTCAATCGAAGTTGACATCAGCTCAACAGCCTGTAAATTGCGCAAACGAGCTAGTGACACGGAAGAACGTGCCAGCAAAAAGTCGCCAGCCAGTACAGCCATTTTGCCTCCAAACACTTTATTCACAGAAGGTTGACCGCGGCGTGTTTCGGCGTCATCTATCACATCGTCATGCATCAAGCTGGCCGTATGGATCATTTCACTGTTAAGCCAATTCTTATGAGTCAGACGTCTTGTTAATCATCATATCAGAAGACCACATGCAGCAACGCACGTGATCTCGGCAAGTCGCTGCTGTGCAGCGAGAGTGTACTCTTTGGACTGCATTTCAGGCAGCGGAGTGCTCGTGATGCGACGATGGGCCTCGGCAGCACGTGACACAAGTAGCACCATTGTTGGTCGCACTTTCTTTCCGCCATCGTGCTCGAAAAAGTAGCGCGCTACGGCAGCCAATACAGGATGGTCTGATCCAAGGATGCGTTTGATACTATCATTAACATTTACAATGTCTTGCGCCACAAGTTGAAATGGGTCGTTTAGCTTGCTTGGATCCGTATGCAGATAGGCTAGCGGAACTTCCACGTCGCCCATGGGTCTGTGGGTAGTCAAACATATAGTGGTCAGTGCACTAAAGTCCAAGGCACACTAGTACAAAGATCGCACTTGTTCACGTCGAGACTACCTGTGAGCGCATAGCCCGGAGCTGGCTGTAAGATGGACACCGTGGGCTCATCCTGGCATCAACCGTTCAATTATGAGCATTTGAGATCATGTTAAAGACACCAGTTGATAACACCTTACCACAACGGAAGCGCTAAGCCACAGGTTTTGGTTTGTTTCCAGGCTTGTGCGAATCTTGTCAGCCATGATTCGTACAGTCTTCTCACGTATACTGCTCATGTGGCGGGAGCTGCGCAGCGAGAGGAAGTGCTTCATTGGTCACGTACGCTGGCTGACGCACTGCGAGCCGCAACTTTAAATGCAACATCAAAACAAGTTGCGCCAGTCGCCTATACAGTATATTAGACAAATTATGTCACTCGAGCAACGTTAGTCCTCAAAGGAACACATGAGAAGGCCACGTCGATTGGTACGAAAAATAGCCCTAAGCTTTCTGCACGAAGTCAATTGATGAGTTGTCGCGTTAGGCAGGTTGGAGGCATTGTCAGAGATAGCGAACATTGAGAACATGGCGAGAATGCCAAACTCACTTTGATGCTCATGGATACACTCGCCAGCTTGAACCTACGCTGTTCTTGGGAACAATAACACACAAATGCTGGTTTAGCGTGTTTAAGGTGGCTCAACTCTCCAAAGAATCAGTCGTCCTTTCCAAATGCAACAGGATTGTCGTGGTATTATTCGCAGTAACTTTTTGACTCCTTGAAATGACGGAGGAGCTACAAGTGACGGAGGCGCTTCATCTCAATGGCTTGTCTGTCACTTTTGGCCTTATTATAGAAAATAATATCTTCAAGTTTATTGCATGTCGCAGAAAGTTGAGACGTTTACTCCATAAGTAAGCAATATCCTGCGAGATATCGGAACCCAGGCCTTGTCTGCGAAACTTGCAAGATCGATTTTCAAAGACGCATTGTGTTTAAGTAGTGGCTTTTGACTCCACTATTTCAATGGTATGTTAAAAAGTGGTCACCCATGACAAAAAACACGCCGTATAAACCCCGCTTTGAAGCCAGCTTCACCGAAACGATGGTCCGCTCAGGCTTGACTTTGCGAAGTGTAGCATGGCGCGGACGTCGAGACAACAATTTATCATTTTCAGTGTCGGCCTCTCTCTTTTCCACGAGGCAGCTGTAACAGCTATCAATCTAGAATTCTCTGCACGCAAGTTAGCAGCGATGGATAAATCTACTTCAGAGCTAAGAAGGTTAAAGATAGCCGAAGTTGACATATTTGTAAGCGGCCGCGGCACCTGGGCAAAATTGCCGTAGTGAGGCATCAGACTTCCATGGATTTTCAATTGAGAGCGTATCTTCCGTTTTATAAAATACTGGTAACAGCCTGCGGTGCTCGCCAGTCATCCAATGTTTCGCGTGAGAGCACACCACCATGGTTCGTCGACTACTGCCGGCGAAAGTCGAGGATGTGCGACTATCTATTGTCAAATTTCTCAGTTGTGGAAGCATGTCGACTCTCTCCTTGAGTAGCAGCGTGCATCGAAAAACGAGGTGAGTCAAATCTCGGATTTGCTACCTGTTTTGTTTTCGAACTAGGGGGTCCTTAGAGGTCTAAAACCGCCTCGCTGACTTGAAGAATAGGGTAGATCAGCTATAAGGGATAAAGGAGCCGCTGTTTTTCTTATATGATACTCTTCATATCCGACTGGCTCGTTACGTGGGATCGTGGCACGGCTTCAGTAAGTCCACTTAAAACAATGGGTGCGTGCGCATTTTCTTAAGCTGTCCAGTATATAACTGAAGCCCTTCTTCGTTATAACTGTGATCGTATGTTGCAGTATCACCACAACGTGGTCTTACACACCGCAAACGCTACATGTACGAGTAGATTATATACCACAATGTTCTCCACCAGCCTCATGTATCGGCGCGTTACTTTTATATACCCTGACACCCAGTCATAGCGTTGCGTGCCCCGCGCATATAATTTGAGGTGTTGCTGTGCTGATATCAGCAAGTATATTCATATCAACGCCATCACTCACAGAGACCAAAGCCGATTGGGGCGACATCAAAGGTATTACTGATCTGTTTACGTGCAGGGGTATATATTTTGTCGAGGCATGTACTGCGGTTTTCAGCGCAAACTCGATGAGTCGGCGCAATTCGTACCCATATTACGGTCTCTCAGTGCAAGCGTCCATGAGAATATCCAACACAACGCATTCTAGATTTGTGAATGGTCAGCGTGTCCAATTTGATGCCAAGAACCTTGAAGAGCACTCGCCGAAACTTTGCCATCAGGCGCGGATCGCAATCCGATACAATGGTCAGCGGCAAGCCATAAGAGAAGAGAAGAAAAGAGAAGAGAAACGAAGAGAAGAGATGATTTGGTGGACATTTTGTCGAGGAACAGTTTGGTTGTAATTCACCGGTCACCGTATCGCTGAGCAGTGAAATGGCCTATCGTGCTCAGACGACTCCCTAAGACCGTAACGCCGGCATTATCAAACGTGTTCTTGGAGGGCTGAAATTAAATCCTATACTTTTGAATTTCCAACATCCAGCCAAAAGCGAAGCGCTGGCCAAATGTTCCACCACATGCGGTAAGGTTCAATTTGATGACACTATTCACACATTTGCACATTTATGCTTACTTATATGACGGGCCAACAATTCATAGATCTCACCGAGCGATAAGTATCGACACCCCCGTAGGTATGCAACCGCGATCTTCAATATAGCTACATCTGAGTTACAAAACTCCTTTCTCCGAGACTTACACGATGAAACAAATGTTGCGTCTGACGCATACGCTGCACGTATCGCCCCATCAACTGACGACGCCTCCAGTGTGTCATGCGAGTGTTCGTTATCCGAACTAAGCCATTTTGCTTTTCGAAAGGTATTCATGGCAAAAACGGATAACCATATTGCCATTTTCTATGAGAATGGAGTGAAGATTTTGCTGCGCACAACCAGTATGGGATGTATAGATCACAAAGCAGTTGCACCGTAAGCTTGGCGAGGGAATGCCTAATTTCAAAAAAAATTGTCATGAACAAGGCAGTTCTTTTTCGCTTTAAATCCGTGTGACGAAAACGCAATCACGCATCAGTGGAGCATTGTACAACATTGCAAAAGCTGAATCGGATTGCGCGACATAAAATAACCGATGTAGACTCGGAAAAGCCAAAATTGGGCACTCATGAGGCGTTTTCAGTTTTATAGGACGCCTAATCTACTGTACGTTGCACTGCCCGCCATCTTATTTCGGCAAATTGGCGAGGGATCGTGCCATGGCGACATAATTTGCACTCACTTGTGCAAGAAGCTTAGTGACGGCAGCCACTCCCGCAACATTTTTACGCCAATGGAACAGTCCAATCTACACTACCATTTATCGTTGCGAAATCAGCATGCATAATCTGTTTACTTGAAATGGCGAATCGTCGGTGCCAAAGGCAGACTTGTCTATATTGGCGAAAGCCTATTCATAGTGCATACACTCGAGCACCGCTTGCTAGGGCTAAATGTGGTTCCTTACATCCAGCTACCCGTGCTCTGCTCGACATTGGACGAATGTCTTGCCGAATTAGGCTGTGTTGCCTTATTTTGGCATGATTAGCGCTCCTACTCGGTGTACCCAATAATATTGCTGTTATTTATCAGCTGTAAATAGTATCCATTAACCTGAACACGAGCACTGAGCAAAATTTAGCCAATCATGCTCTTTTGTGGTACATTATTTTTAAGAATCGGCTATTGTGCCGAAATAGAGGGAGCATTTAGCTTACTGTAAGCCTGCACAACTTGCAGTTAGCCTTTCTACCACAGAAGGTCGGCGTCGAATGAGAAAAATCAACTTTCTCTCGCTGGCATTACCGTGCGATTTCACAGTTGACTTCGGAGACCATGTCAAATTCACCGTCCTGAGGGAACCACACGTCTTGGTGTCGTTCGTCACCAAGTCGAGATAAAGTTCAACCTAGAATAAGATGAAAACGTTACATTCTCACATTCTCAAGAATAGCTGCTTTTGTCATGCATATGCTGCTCTGCGAGTGTTCTTGTTGACAGATTCAATTTGATCCGGAAGATAAGCTTAGCTTTCTCTGTATCCTCCATACAATTTAAGAGCTCACCCTCTTGCGATCAAGGACTACTTCGTCATTTATATTATTTTTTTTTGCTGTCGCTGTGTAGCTGAATAAGGTTAATGATGAGTCGGGGAAGACTTAAAACCCCACGTTGCTCTTTTTCAGAGCGAATACACTTACCGTGAAGACTGACCGCTTTGTAAGGCGAGCCCTTCGCGCGGCAGTGCTGACTCATCAGTACCGTCGTGACGAGAATCAGTCTCTCGTCCTATATTCTAAACATTCCTTTCTACGTGCAACTTATAGTCGCTTTTTTACTCCACCACCTCTGGCACAGGAGATCGCGACACCCAGTCGCTTCTACCCTCTGGCGGCTCGGCTCAGCTTTCAGCTACCCTGTCAACACTTAAGGGTCGCGAAATAAGTTTAAGTCAACAGAGGTACACTCTAAAAACCGCGATATACTGTCGCTCTACTCCGACTCATCCGAAGACCTAGGCTCACTGTCGCTTCTGTCTTCCGAACTTTCTGTCTCAGGCTCCAGCACCATTGTCACTTATTTAAGGTAACACAATGTTGTGCACAAAAGCTATATCAGCTTTGGTCCCGCGCCAAAATCGCTTTTGTTTCTTTGCTGGGTTAGGACACGCCAATGCTTGACTTGAAAAAAAGTGCGCGGCACTTGGATTTTTCTACTCCCAGTCGTCCTGTGGCTCGTTGTCTTGCAGCCACACTATAATTAATATGAGGTCATATCTTGAGTCTAGGTTCAGGACTAGAACACGTTCTGCACACTGAACAAACTCCTCTGGTCGGTCAGAATAACCCTCAACAGACTTACAAGTTTCAGCATCACAAAATACGCGCGAATTTATCTCGATGCCTCTGTCTACCTTCTACTGTTTTGAACAGTCATGCATCGTACCCAATTGCACGACGCCCCTGATTCCCCAAATACTTTCCGTGGCTTACAAAGCCCGTAAGGTTGGTTACCACAACCAAAACTTTAGGCTTTGATTTTCACAGAGTCGCCTTTAGGGCTGGGTTCAAATGTGTAAGACATACAAGTAGTACGTGAGAACTCAGTCTTGCCCAAATGCAAGTGGCTTAGTTGAATCGCGCAATGCGGTGCACTAGAGGTCAACGGCCAGTTTGTTTCAAAATTGTAGCTTGTCCGGCAGCTGAAGCAGCCGGCTCATAGGTGTGCGTATGGTTGTTTTCAGCATACATTGAAGACGAGAGAGTGTAACCACCTTGACCTCAACATTGAGCTTTGAGCTCACACAGACAATCAATATATCAGACGTCTAGTTCATTAAGACGGGATAGTCGGTACTTTTTTACCAACAAATGCTCAAAATGAGCCTTACAATCCTCCTGAGAAGTTGTGTCATACGGGAATAAAATGCGCTCATAGATCAAACCTGCTCTTCTCAGAAAGAGATTAATGTGCGCATTTCATGCGAAGATGAGCGAAAGCTTTAAACACGTGAGACCCTTAAAAAGACTTCAATCGATAAAGGACGGCGAGCTACGTAGCATTAGGATAAGGTAGAGAACCGAATATCAATGAGCCATGTGACCACCTTCACGACATCGAAAAAGGAAGTTTATCTGTTCCAAGCAGGGTCTTATGCAAACAGAAAAAAAGAAATTCGCGCTGTGGTTTGTGTTCTTAGAGCACACACATATGTGTGTTTTATGCAGGTCTTAAGACAAGGCCTACGGTTAAAATCCCAGAAGATTCACACTTGATGAGGGGGCAACTATGGAGCACATATTCTGTTTGGGTTTATACACACATCACATTATTGTTTCTCGGACAGAGTGCGAAATTCAGAGGTACCGACATTTTGTGCTGTGAATAAAGTACGTTTATGGGATACAGTGATACGGTGCTAGGCTATCAATCTAGTCGTACACAAAAACGAAACGCGCGCCGAACTCGTGTTTTACGTAATGCATTGGATAGGGTGCTCGCATATTGCTGATCAAACGTATATATTAGCTATTTTCCTGTCACAACAAATTCGTTATGGACACAACATTCTTGCATACATCAGAAATAAGGACGATCATCCAGGCATTACAGTACCACGATCTTGAAAGGATATCTGATATTCTGCACGAGCACAGTACTAGGAACGCAGTGCAGCTACTTGAAGCAAGGCATGGGATGGCAGTGGTAGCCTAATCATTGAATTTCTTTTGACGGCATCGCGGCAAGCTTGCCGAGTTCGCCTGTTTCGGCCATTCCAGATCAAGCAAGGTCGACAGGATTGCGTGCAACTCGAAGCACTGTGTCTTTGGCTGCACAGCATTTTTGTCTGGGAGGCGAGATGGGTTATGAGATCTTGCTTCAGGCTGGTAATGGCTACCAAGAAAGTCACACCGGCAAAGACAAGCAGCTCCACTCGATACAATACCACACTCGTGAATTTGGGAGTTACAACCTGAAACAAATACCTTTATGATCAAGTGCACACAGATATGCCACTTCACTGCTGAAGGTGTTTTGGTGACTGTCACTCTAAAAAGTACAGTTTCTATGTTCTGTAAGCCAGAATCGATGCTTTATTGCGACCCGAATTTGAACTGGTGGATCTGTGTGACAGGGATTGTAAGGCGAGCAAGAAATATGATAATTCGGAACGATTGCTGAGAATTCTAGCCATTTAGCGAAGACACTAGCATCAACTGGCCTAGCCACCAAATAGATTCGAGCTTCATTATTCCTGGTGGGCTGACTAGCAGTACGTTGTAACCCCGAAAGTACAAAATACACCCTTCGGGGGTCCTTATGATCATAAAACACTTTTATTCGAGTCCAGCCATCCGTTGGAGTTTCACGTTTGTCTAATCATTCAGCCAGCCGATCACTCTTCAGCGTGGTCCACAATGCCCATTCGTCCCAGCGAAGCGCTCGTCGTTGAGCCTATGGTTTATGTTTATATCGTGTTCGCTCCAAACTCGTTGCTGCTTACTTGCAGAAGAAGCTCAGATGCGTTACTATTTGGGAAGTACAAGATTCGTTTTTCTCCGATTTTCAAACGAGAAACTGCACATGGATTCCAACTAGTTTATACGCTTGGTAGTGTTGTAAATTTAAGTCGAATCCAAGACCAAGATTGTGTTCCAGCGGATCCAAACCCTCGGTATTATCATTAATATAGTCGGATCCAAAACCGAGATTATGTCAACAATAAACAACCTCGTCTCAATCTGTGAGCATTGCTCCCTTCAGAGTTGAGATTGATGGCATCGACTTTTTGGAAGTACAATATGAGCGCATTACTTCCCAGAAGACTGACCTGCGTAGCTGAAGTCTGACAATGCCATCACGAGAGATCGATAATTAGGCTGCAAAAAATCTCGTTTACTTGTAATTCTCATCTGAAAGAGGACAGGATATTTAGTACTCTCGCACTTGTATCACCGGCAGATTTTAAGGCGCTATTTGTCTGAAATCAAATGTCGTTAGTATGTTCATGGATCCATTCAGATATATCCTAATGGCGTGAAAATATTTCCATAGTATTGCTAGATTTACCGCTTCCTCGTAAGAAGTTGGGTTAATATGGGCATCTCGACCAAATTTATACCTGTTACGGAAGATACCAGCAATCACAGTAATGATTATCGATGAGAAAAGGGCCAATTTTCATCCAGATAGATTTTCCTCAACACTCCGTCAACTCATTAGAACCTAACCGCGGTTATCCATATTCGGTGGTACAAAGGCTCGCACCATCTATAACTAAGCTATTGATCGAGCTAGGGATACCTTATTTTAATGAGCGCCATGTGATCTATCATTCGTGTGCGCGACTCCCTAGCTTGGCGATTATTATAGCAACGCGATGTTCATTGATTTAGAGCAAGGCCAAGTCTATGGCCATTCCAAACCTTTTAGCTTGAAGACTTTAGCACTGAATAAAAGTGGTTTTAATGTAGATCTCTACAGAAGTCGACGGCGCTTCCACCGACACCCGATTGAGTATTTTCTAACCTGCCAATCGTTGTAGCTCCACGCAAGCGTTAATCGCTCCGTGCTCTGTGTCGCCATTTGTGTCGTCATTTCGGGGCCAGCACAGTCAGCACTTTTCAAGTGTGTCCTAAGACTTCGATTTATAAAAGAAGCAAATTTTGTGCTCCAGTCATATAGAAGAGGCAATTTTTCAAGAGCCTGTGTTGGCAAACACGTGAAGGATTTACTGAAAAACCTTTGTATTAGACACACACCAAAGAATCTCTAACTTTATATGTTTAAGCATATCAAGTTAAAGGTGATTTATTTAGAACAAAAGCTGGCCTGTATCACAACTTCAAATGTGCGCTCTATATAACTCGATAATATATCCCTGATTCAAAGATTGTTCAAGGCTATTAGCCCACGTGTCAGAGGGACATTAGTTTTGGAACTTCATCATACCAATGACACATTAGGATACTTTACTTTACCGCTTCAAGTGATGTTTACCACATAACTCGTCTCTCGATTCGGTGTACACGAAACTTTCTACGACTATGCGGTGTTTGCGCTCAATTATAAACGTACCTATTGATCTGCAAGAGTCAATTTGGACAAGATACGGATTGGCTCCATGAGCGCTGGAGACGATGGATTTTTGCCGAATTGAGTGACAGCTCAGTTTCTTGAAAATCTTGGTATTCGCATATTCTAGTACCAATATTTATGCTGTAGATATACTCACTCTCGTATTTAAGTTGTAAATACCCGAACTGCAAAGCATAAGCAATCGAAAGACTATCTTAGAAAAATGTACGGTAGGCACAGGGTGGCCGATCGAGAAGAATCTTTTTTTGGAGCTCGTAGAGGTTGATATAAATTAGACTTGGCCTCAAAAAGATTGTCGGTCTCATAGAGAGGTGGGAATTATATCCAGGGCTAGCAATCGTTTATACTATCGTACGGGGCTGCGCATTCCATGGAAATAATTGCAGCTTCTGAGATAGCATGCAAGTATGAACGACGAGAATATGCTGGGACACCGACCATGTCAAGTTGGAGTACTAGTTCTACGATCCGGCCTAGACACTCGCTCAAGTCTAACGGTTATCATTAAACGTGAAATCGAGTCTCAAAAGTTTTGATAGCGCGAAATGCGTCTTTATGCTAGACCTGGATCCAAGATACGATTAAAATAGTATGTGTGGCCTGGCAGGTGCACCACAAGTCATTGATCGAATGTGAGTCGTAGAAGATAAAAACTCCAACAATTGTTTCTGTAATAATTCATGAAACACATCTGTCGGGAAACAAAAACGCTTTCAGTACATGCTCGAAAATGCGGCAGTTTTGATGTCCAAAAACCTATCACTGAGATTGATAGAAGCGTTGAACAAAGTTCGAAGGGCATGTGTAGCTGCGATCCATGAATTTTTGTAATATATCATCTTGAGACGAGAGCAAGTGACCCAACCACGCCTTTTGTCGGAAAAAGCTTATCGAAACAGATATGGATAGCTTTGAGCTAAAGAATCCAGCGTGACTTTGCTTAGAGGAGAGAAAGCATCTGTTTTTCAGGCTCTCCAGGGCCTATTCCTCTAGAGAAGATGTTGAAGGTGCGGTGTATAGGAAAAGCAAAGATCATAGAAGTCACGAGTGTAATCTCTGGCGCTGATGTTGCAATGTAACTTTACATCTCATATGCTCTGGCGAAAGAAGCGACTAGATAAGTTCTAGGGAGTAAAGTTATCATGTTTTTAAATTCGTTCTGAGCATGAGAAACTATCCCAGGAGGATACATGAATGCCTTCTTGGTACTGAAAAGCAGGCAAAATTGAGCTTACTATCCGCCACCGTCATTGAATCAATTCAGAAGGCGCTTAGTGCGAGGTATGGATGTGTCCCCCCCGAGAAAATTGTAAGTCTTGTTGTGCTTTGATGGTTTACAAAATACCAGCCCTTTCTTGAACTTTTTGTCAAGTAAAGAAACTCATCCCCGGAAAAATACTGCGTGACACGCGAATGACCGGATTATTCGACATCAAAGAGTCTAATCACCTCCGTGTAAATCTTGAAGACAATTTTGTGTTATAGGATATATATCTCCACTCGGCGCCGATTTCTTGTATTGAAAGGCTGACCGTAAGTGGCAGATCGTATGCGCTTTCTCCTGTGTTTTGAAAGAATCAGTATAGAAAAGTTTGGTCGAATTTGCAATTTCTGGCTCCATGGGTAAGCACCTTATAAAAGAGTACTGCTTAATGCTGGGTTTGCAGCGGCGACGCCAGTCGGTACCCTCTTTGAAGAATGTAACACTAAACTGCAAACGGATGACAGATGCAGAAATTGTATGGCTTTGTTCAATCGTTAGGTTAAGTGGCACGTCACTTTACTAGCTTGCGGCCCTACAACTTATTACAAGCAAGCAAGTGTACGACTTGATCGCCGCACGATTTTTGGTATTGCGAGTACAAAGTGCTTTGTCGACGTCGAGAAAATTACTCACCCTCATACATATACTGCGCAAGTCTATATATCCTATATATCAACAAGGCTGTTTTATAATCTCAACGTATCTCAAGTCTTGGTGGGCTAATGTAAAACGTAAACCCACCCGTTTACACTGTTGCCGCTCGAACATTGAGCGGGGCGGAAGTCACTATGACTTCGCACAGCGAAGTCCAGCGTTCTAGTTCAAGATGCAATATCAGAGTGATGTCACTAGAAAAAACAAAATGTTTGTCAAAACGACTTCACGCAGTCTATTGAAGAAATACATCGTCAGCGGTGAAGATATCCGGGTCACCTATCTTATTCCACTGGATAGCGCTGACGTGACTCTATACATTGATGACGATCACAAGTACAATTTGGCAAAATCTAGTGGTTTGCTTGCTAAACTGCTCAAAAGTATTGGACTTCTTATTATAAAACATTATTTTGAGATCAGTTTCTGTCCATAAGTTTGACAAAAAACCATCAGGTGATAGAAAATGTTAGGCGTTTTACTTGCGTTCGCTCTTAAGTATCATTTGTCGACGCATAAATGGGATCTTTGAGGTCAGGATCTTGTTCGAATTGCTGCCGACATATTTTTGTACACTTTCTGCAAGATAGCATCGATTTTTTGCAGCAAACAGCAAACTCAACATATTGGATTTGAAGTTGTTGTGCCCGAATGCCACACTTGACAGAAAGTCTATCTTACATTAGCTGTGCCGTCAGCAAAAGATTTATTTAGGTTATCGCACGATAAAAGTATAATGTATCTGGATAATTTGAAAAAGACAAGAACTTGGCGACGTCTGCTTGCCGACTGGAACAAGGATATCAAATGACGAGAGGTTTCAAGAGCATGAAATCGCACTCAAATGATTTTATGAGATCTGTTAAGCATCAGTTAATGTATCAAAAGTCACAGAAAGCGATCATATGCTTTCCAAAAGCTGACTTATATGCTCAATGATATTGCACAAGCATCACTGACAGACTAAGTTAGCAATTGCAAACCTCGAAATTTGGAATATTCCAGACATCTGTCAAATCGTGAACAATTCGAGGCTGACGAAGCGGAATATCAGCAAAAAATGTCTTAGCTGTTGCAGAGGGGCTGCCGTAGCTTTGCGCGTAGAGGAAGCGTAATTTAGGTCGCCGACCTTACGTTATTCACAAAAACCTGTACGAGTGCAGCGGATCGCAATTTGCTACCTCCGAGATTAGTTAGAACCTTAACCCAAGGCTAAAAAAACGACGCTTCTGTTTAAAATGTAAACTGTATTTATTTGTTTTATCTGCGGCAAAGCCGCCTAAT